AACAACCGAAAGAACATCCTTCAGTAGATACTATTCCATTGGAAAGTGATAAACAACCGAAAGAACATCCTTCAGTAGATAAAGTAACGGATAAAGATGATAGTAAACGAAGTGCTACTATTCTACAACGTTGGCAAGAGTATATTCAAGACGGTTGTATTGAACATTTTGATGGGAGTATAGATGTTATTGAAATTGTACGATATCTTGGAACTGGTGGGAGTAGTTTAGTGTATGAAGGACGATATGGATCACAACAACTTCCTGTTGCCGTGAAGTGTTTTATTATTCCAGATGGGATGGAATATAAAGATTACGTAAGGGAATCCCTTACAAATATTGCTTTTTTTGTTTTTTTCAATCAGTTAGAAGAGTGTGGTATTATTCGAGGAACATGTGTGTATGATTTTCTTATTAGCGATATACCTCCTAAAGGTATGCCAGAAAAAGATGTGCGTTTATGCACTCGTCAAGATAAGAATAATAATAATATTGCTAATGGAAATGATAACCATCATAATAGTATTAAACTTTGCTATCTTGTGACTACCTTAATGGATGGTGTTATTGGAAGATTTTTAAAAGAAGGTGAGGAGGATTATGATCCTTGTTATGATACCCTTATCAATTCACCATTACGTGATGGGGAAATATTTCAATTCTTATACACTCAACTTGTACTTCGTGCGTTATTTGATTATACCGTTTTAGATATGATGTTGAATGGACAATTGAGAGGTGATAATCTCGGGTATACTTCTCTTATTCACAACAATAATAATAATAATAATTTATCCCCATCTCGTGCGGTATTACCTACCTATAAAGGTATAGTGATAGTCTATCAATTAGATCATCATACATCTCCGCTTTATTTACGATTTCCAGCCGATATTTCAGATTCCACAAAACTTGGACCCCTTCGATTTATTTGTTTTATTGATCTTGGTCAAGGTAAACAACCACAACTGCAGGAACTCACACAACGTGGTCTTATTGGGGAAACAATTGTGGAATCTTGTATTCAAGATGATGGTCTTGGTCGTTATTGGCCTTCAGATCGTATTTACAGTAAATATATAGATACCCACGGAACAGTGGCGAAGGCGGCAGTGGAGTGGGGAGCGGGATTATGTATAGATTCTCCACAGAGTGCAGAGAAAGCTTTACGGGAATTATTTGAATTATATGCACCGACGTATGGAGTAGAGAATCTATCAGAAGAGGAATTGGTGGATTATGTTGTCTTAACATGGACTCCTACAAATGTAGAGAGACTACAGAGGGAATATATTTACCGTGCGAGTACAGGCTCTGATGGAGTGTGTGGGTGTGAGGAGGGGTTAACTGTCAATAGCAATAGTGACAAGGGTGAAAATGAATGAAATGATGGGAAGAGTAATAAATAAATAATAAATAAATAAAGGGAAAAGGAATAAAATAAAACAATTTAACACATGAAGAGAAAGTGCTAGATTGGTGTTCTTTTATTATTATTATGGGGGAATGCAATTTTTGAGAAATTAGAATGTGAATATCAGTTTTTTTTTTTTTTGTTTGTTTGTTTCCTCCTTTTTTTGGTTTTGCGTTGGTTTTTTGTTTTTTCTCTCTCTTTCTTTATTTGCTTCTTTCTTTGTTTGATTGTTTTTTCCTTTATCTTTTCCCTCCTTCTTTATATATGTATATGCATATATATATATATATATATATATATATATATATATATATTTATATTTATTTATTTGTTTTTGTGCGTGTGTAGATGTTTCTGTTCTTCTTACTACTCTACAAGACATTCTCACCCCCAATATTTCACTTTTTCTCTCCTTCCTTTAACTGGTTTACTCTCTGCAGGAGCGCAGCAGAAAGAAGGAAAGAGGGAAAAAGAGAGAATTGTATATAAATAAAGATACTAAAAAGAGCAAAAAAAGAAATGATTAGATTCTTGTTTTCTTCAGTTGCACAGTTGTTATTATTGTATCTCACAGTTATATTGAGTTTTATTATTATTATTATTATTATTGTTATTATTGTTATTATTATTATTATTATTATTATTATCACTATTTTTTTATTTTTAAAACTAGTACTACTTATATATATATATATTATCCATTTTGTTCTTTTCTCCCTATTATCATTCTTATTATTCTTTCAACTAGCAGCAAGTAAACCACAATATCTCACCAGCAACAACAGCAAAAGAAAAAAAAAAGTCTCTCTCTCTCTCTCTCTCTCTCTCTTTATCGATATACATCTATCTATCTAACTATCTATCTATCTAATCATGTCTGAGGATGATGGCAGGACTCCACCCAACACGACTCTCACAAGAGAAGAAATGGAAAAAAGTGCCAATCGCCTCAGCACCCGCCACCGGCCGGAGGTTCAACTCCAACCGCTCGTCCCCCGCCGCACACTCACCGCAGAGGCGGAGGAGCGCAGCATCAAACATCTCTACGACGACTCCATGGCCCATCGTGAACAGCGGCTGCGGGAGATTGAGGCGAATATGAATGCCGAGATTGATAGATACCGCGCCCAGCAGAGAAAACTGGATGAGGAGGAGAAACAGCAATTGGTTCATCGACTCTATGAAGAGTCTATTGAGAAGAAAGATTATAAAATGAAGGAATTGTATGAACGGGAATTGGCTTCCCTACAACGCAATACACGTACACTTGGAAAGAGTGAACAGGCTTCTGTGGTGGATCGTTTATATACAGAAGGAATGGCAAATAATCGAAAGAAACACATTGCGTTATTTGAAAAGTTTGTATTGGATAGACAACCGCAAAGTGTACAACGAACACCAGAACAATTAATGGAGACATGTGATAAACTATGGAAAGGTGAAGGCGTGACTTCATGAATATAAATATCACCACTACAATTATTATTATTACTATTACTATTACCACCACTACTACTCCTATTGGGAAGTGGGTAAAATATGTACATTTATATACATACATATATATACATATACATAAATATACATTCATATATAGGATAGTTGTACAGATATGTAAAGAGAAATATTATATGTATATAAATGTACATATATGTATATTCGCTGTTCACATCTTGTACAGGTTAAAGCATGAAAAGAGAAAATAATAAGCAAAAAAAAAAATACTTTAGAGGCATATGAGTTACTGAAGATGTTTTCTTTTTTTTTTTGTATTTTGTATTGTTATCTTGGAAACCATAGAGATCTCTATCCATGTTACAATGATTATCTCTGTGTTGATGTATTCTTTTCTTATTTGTCTATAATAGTCTTTATATTTATATATATATGCATAATACTTTGATCTTTCTTTCTCTTTTCTTTCTTTCTTTTTCTATTTTTTTTTAGTTCCTATTACTACTAGTGAGGTAGGGGGAAAAGGGAGAAAAAAAAAAAGAAAAATAAACAAGAGAATAAAGCTTTTATGAAGTTTTATTTTTAGGACTTTCTTTTTTCTTTTTTTTTTATTATTATTGTATCATTATCATTGCCATAGTTAGGCAATTCTCCTCTCATTTCCCTTTTTTTTTTTAACTTCCTTGCTCAAGTAATATTATTATTATTATTATTATTATTATTATTATTATTATTATTATTATTATTATTATTACTATCTATATATCTATTTCTCATTCCTTTCATGCAGATCACTACACTGGAGCAGGTGGCTGCATGGCTGCGGGAGAATAATTGTCCAATGACATCTATGGAGTTATACTATGAATGGCGTAATGTCCATCATGAGAGTTATCAGCCATTTCTTGATATTGCTGTGGCTGCTGCTGAAGAAGAAGAAGAAAAAGAAAAAGAAGAAAAGAAAACCCATCAGATATCATTATCATTATCATTATCATCAAATACCTTCTCTACACAACAACGTGAAGGAATAGTAAAAGATACAGAAGATTCAAATACATTAATGGAACAGGCTCTAGTAGATTTATTAATAAAATATGGAGAAGAAAAAGGAATAACAGCCATGTCAAGAGCCGTAAAGAAAGCAGCTATACAACTTCAACAAGATCATTCCAGTCATTCGCAAGAAGGAAGTTCTCATCATACTTCTATTGGTACGGGTATTAGTACAATTACGAATACAACGATTACAATGAATTCAAGGGCAAATAGGATGTCTATACATAATGATCAATCCACATTGGGGACTCAACGCTTGGGGGATTCATCACCTTTAGGAAAAGAAAATAATAATAATAATAGTAATAGTAATAACGTGATTACTATACTAGAACAGAAATTACATCAAATAGAGGATGAACGCACCAACACCACAAATATACTTTCTGAAAGACTTCCAATGTTAATACGTGTAGTAGATCCTATGCAAAAAGATATACTTATTCCACTTATTAGTTTAAATGCAACTCTTAGTAATACCACAGCTGGAAAAGCCGCTTCTCGTCTTTTACTTCTTACACTTTACACACGTCCAAATCGTGAACATCGTGCGATAGTTTCAGAAGCATGGGCAAGAGCTTTAAAAGATGATTCCTCTTCATTATCTGAAAATGAAATCGTACCAGAGTTATTTAATTTAGCAAATGCAAAATCTGTGGAAAGACGTATTTTAGCATTAAGTTGTTTAGATGCTGTGGCTCCTTATCTCACAAATAGTCCTTCTCAACGACGGTCTATTTGTCAGGGTTTATTATTTCCACTTAGTAAAGATGAGTCTAGAACGGTACGGTGTCATGTTGTTCAATGTCTTGTGGATGTTTGGCCTAAAATATCAGATAATGATAATTCTTTGGAATTTGATAAGAAACAACAACAACAAGAAGAAAATAATAATAATAATAATAAAGATGATGAAGAAGTGGATTTATGTCTCTCTTACTTTGTAGAATTACTCCTACATCTCGCTTTACATGACTCCAGTCTTACTGTACAAGGTCGTGCTTTTCAAAGTTTACGTTCTCAACTTCTTTCAAGTCATGTCCCTCGTCGTCTACTTCTTACTCGTATTATTCCTTTATTATTATCATTTCTCGAAAGAGAATCTTATGTAGCTGGGACTATGGAATCTTCTTTACAATCTCTTCCACTGGGGAGTAAAACCACTCCCGTTACGGCAAATACACCTACACCTACTACACCTACACCTACGAGTTCACCTGGTACGGCTGGTATTGTGGGAAAGAAAACAGATACGGTAGTTACTGTGAGTATTAAGAATACATTAGTACTTGCCAGTTTAATTGGAGATATACTTCGCTATGCAAGAGAAGGTGGTGAGGATGATAATGAGGATAAAAATAAAACCACTTCCTCTGGAGATGGTGTGATGCCTTCTGTTTTTGAAGCCTATCTACGCGTGGTATTACCTTCTACATGTGCTTTGATATTATGTAGTCTTGATCAGGAAACAACAGATACATCTATTTGTGCTGTGGCATCTGCATTAGCTGTGATGATTCCAGCTTTACGTTTATCTCAATGGAAACGTGTTCGGGCTTTACTTGGTTTAACACTTACAGAAGCCCTTCAAATTGTTCGTAGTGGTAATATGGATGATAATACTACTACTACTACTATTAGGACTCCTACTATTAGTAGTAATAGTACGACTGCTGCTCTTCCTATTATCTCTAGCATTAGTGGTTTTTATAATAATAGTAGTAATAATCCTACTACTACTACTACTACTACTACTACTACAAATAATAATAATAGTGTGAGTGGATTTACACCTGGTAGACCTGTTGCTGGTGTTTCTATTACTAGTCGAAGAGATATTTTATGTCGTGATGGATGGCGTCGACGTCAAATGTGTTTTTTATTTGCATTTCTTACTTGTGTGGCTGGTGGAAAAGATGCGAATGGGAAGGCGGTGTCTATAGACGCTGCGACTATTGCCAAAGATGCGGCTTTACTCTTACGAGAAACCCTTATGATGGCGAAAGAAGAATGTGATAAAATGATACATGGAGGAAGACAAGAGAAAAAGGGGAAATCTATTCATACAAGTGAACGAGAAGATCAAGAGATATATTATGAACATGAACAACCACAAAAAGAAAAAGAAAAAGGTGATGATGATGATGAAATGATGATAATGAGAATGATGATGATGATGGAATCCAAAGGTACAGATCCTTGTGCTTGTTTAGATGCCTGTGCCACCTCTCTTGCCTGTTTGGCTTCCTATGTGGATAATACACATGGAAGTGCAGCAGCCGTTTCATCTCTTTTATGTTCTCTTGCGGAATCATCAAATGAAAAACAACGTTTACTCGCCGTTGTATTAGTCTCACGTGTAAGTGGATTACCAAAAGATGATCATGTACGCGAAGTTTATATTTGGCCTCCACTCCTTACACTTATGAATGATACGGTTTACACTGTACAGGAGGCGGCAGTAATGGCGGCGGTATCGATGGTAACAGTCATAACAACAGCCGCCACTCAAGAGAAAGTTCTCCGCACCGCATTAGCGACGGTAGAAGCGGCTGGATGTCCATCTAAATTGGCAGTGGCTTTTTTACGGCATTGGTGTTCACTTATGCGTGTGATGCCGGCAGAACCTCAGGAGAATCTCATGTATCCACAGTTAGCTATTATGATTGATCACTTAAAGAATGTACTGTGTAAAAGTACTAGTACACCTTCCCTATCTTCCCCCTCTTCTTCTTCCTCTTCACCGTCGTCATTAAAAGGAGTTCAGACTTCTATAATGAATAGTAAAGTGACGGAGGATACATTACAAGCCGTGTTGGATGTTCTTGCGGCTATTCCACATTCAGCAGTCGTAACACCACAGTTAGTAAAGAGATATCTTATTCCACGAATTCAATTATTAACATCAGTACCAACATTAAATGCATCTAGTCGTTCACAACTTGTGAGTATTGCGAAGGAGTATGATGCTGTAATGGGATCTGGTAGAGGAATGCAAGGAGCTACAAATTTTTTTGGTCGAGTACGGGATGAATTTAAGAAACGTTTCTAATCATCTCTTGCAGAGTATTATATATATATATATATATATATATTTCGTAGTGGTCTGTTCTAACAGTGAGGGTTGTTTAGTTTCATTCAAGTACAGTTCACTTTCAGTGGAGACAGTAATTGTTACAATGAGAGTAGCAAGAAGAAAGGAAAGAAATATACCTTTTTTTTCCTCTTTTTTTTTTTTGTTTTTTATTTTGGATTTTCTTTTTTCTCTTTGCAATTATAAAGCGGATTTGTCTATTTTTTTTATTTGTTTTTTGTACTGTTCTTGTTGAAGGTCATATTGGCTTTGTTATGCTTCTTATTTATTTTTTCACCTCTTTGTTTTTTTTTTTTTCTTTTTAGGCACCCAACTCACGCACTGAGTCAAAGTAACGAAAAAAAAAGGGGGATAATAATAAGAAACCCATAGAAAATATCATTTCATACTGTTAATCTAATTACATATTAGATATTATTTTTATAAATTTTTTTTCTTCTTAGTTACTCTGATCCCCCCTCTTTCTCTCTATTTCCCTACTAATATTATATATATATATATATATATATATATAATATTTAATGCTTCTTATCAGTTGGAATGTGGCTGGTTGGTCCTCCACCTGCAAATTACTCCGTGATGACTTTGGCAGTATTCAAAACTTCCTCCAACAAACTCACGCGGATATTGTCTGTTTGCAGGAAGTAAAAGGCTCATGGTCCAAACTCGATAGTGATGCTCGTGGGGCCGGTGCGAGTGATGGTGGTCCACATGCCATTCGTGGATGGGAATCTTTCTGGTCTTTCAGTAGTAAACAACATCGTGGATTTAATGGAGTCGCTACCTTTGTTCGTGAAGGACTCACTTATTGGTGTGATGCTAAACCCTTTACAGAGGCGGAATTAAATGATGAGGGACGTGTAGTGGTAACGTGCCATAGTGCCTTTGTATTAATTAATACTTATGTAGTAAATGCCAGACATGGATTACGATTGGGATTTAAAATGCGTTTTCTTAAAGCATTGAAAGATCTTCTCTCTCGTGTGAAGAAAGAAACGGGAAAACCAGTTGTGTTAGTGGGGGATTTAAATCAAACGTATCGTCCACAAGATGCGTGTTGGTTATTGCGACGATTGAGTTTACCATCTATGTTTCAACTTGTACAACGTGCACGAGAGATAATAAGAGAGAATAAGAATGAAAAAGAAAAGGAAAAGATGGATAAATGGGAAGAGGAATTTCCATATCTTTCACGTTCAGCACTGGAACGATTAGAACTATTTGTGGCTGAGCAAGTATCTCTTTTACTAGCGGCATCTGAAGAGGAACAGGAACTCTCTATGCCTAGAAGTATTAGTATTGATACTTCTCTCTTTGATGTGATGAAGGAAGAGGAGAATAATAATAATAATAATAATAATAATAATAATAATAATAATAATAAAGAAGGGGAACTTGATGATAATAATGAAGAGAAGGAGAGAAGAGTAGTGAATAATAATGATGAAGCTTTAGTAAAACTCATAGCCCAAATACAAGAACGTAAACAACAACAACAACGTAAAGGTAGTGTAAATGGCGTATTAGCTACCTTGGAAGAGATATGTGCAGCTGGTATTCGTAGTGTATTTGTTGAAGTATTAACTCGAGTTCAACCTCCTTCACATAATCGTGAACTTTTCGCGTTAATACAATACTGTGGTTTACCTCCACATGCAGATATAAGTGTACAGTTTATGAAGGAATTTATCTCAGAATTACATCTCTGTGATGTTTTACTATTTACTCGTCCTAGTGAAGATGCCGTAAACACGATAGATGGAATAGAAACATGTCCTCCTTGTCCATATACATGTTGGGATCAATCTCGAAATAAACGTTTAACAAATGAAGGGACTCGAATTGATTATATTTTAATAGATGAAGAACTCACTTGGGCATTAACGCCTTGCAGTAGGACGGAGAATAATATCGGTCTCTCTTCTTCTACTACTACTAGTAATAATAATAATAATAATAATAATAATAATAATAATAATAATAATAATAATAATGAGAATACAATTGCAGGTTCCTCTTCTTCTGCTTCTTTTTCCTCTGAAACCAAAACAATTTCCATTCCATTCTTTAATGAATTTGATGGGAATTCTCTCACTATTGGTGTACGCCGGGCGATGGCGAATGGGGCTTATCCCGCAGCTCCATTTGATGGTTCGGGTTTACCAGCCGTCACGGCTACGGCGAAGAATGTACCTTTTTGTGGATTACCCTCTACGGGTTTGTTTGTCACTCCACCGCAGTATAGTGATCACTGTGGGGTTTGTGCCTATTTGAGTGGAATAACACTTCAACGACGAACAGAGAAGCTGCAGGAGAGACATGGGCAGCGTTGTTATTATCGTCCACCCACTAGTTTACATGCATTCTTTGGAAAACATAATAGAAGTGATACAGAAGCAACAGCATCCGATAAAACCAATAAGTCACAATCACAGAAGATTATTGTGAATGAAAATGATGATAGTGGGAAACAGCAGAAGGAAGAAGAAGAAGAAGAAGGGATGGAAGAGAAAAAGGAAAAACAAGTACGAAAATTGGAAACCGTTGTAATTGACGTTGATGACAATAGCTGTTAAAACAGAGTAATGTTGCAATAATAGATGCGGAAATAAACCCTTATTTTTTAATTTTTTTTTTTACCTTTTTTTTTGGTTATTAGTTTTCCCTTCTTTGAGTCTATACGTGTTTTATTTTTATTTTTTTTCTCTCTCTCTTTTCTATTTTCTTTCTCTTTCTCTCTCTCTCTCTATATATATATATATATATATATATATGGATATATATACATATAGATACATTAAGAGGGAATTGGTAGGTAGGATGAGTCGTGCGGTATTTGCAGAGAAAGCGACGTTGGCCTCTGAACGGGCGAAGGAATTCATCAGTAGCGGTGGAAGTGTAGTCGCTCGGGCTCGGGCTCTTGTCTCTGGAGATGCACAGTTCTTTGCTGTTCAGCCAAAAACAGAAGATCTTCGTCGTCAATTAGATGTGGATTCCTTATTTGATAAGCGAGATGCGATGAAACGTATTATTGCTCAAATGTGTAAAGGAAGTGATATGTCTAATCTATTTGCCGATGTAGTAAAAAATATTCATAACCCATCTATTGAATTACGTAAATTGATTTACTTTTATGTTGCACACTATGCAGAAGATAGACCTAATGAGGCACTCTTATCTATATCGGCTTTTCAAAAAGATTTATTAAATCCAAGTATGCATGTACGATCCTTAGCATTACGTATGCTTAGTACAATGCGTATTCCCGCTATTCAACCACTTGTCATGGTGGCTGTGCGAAAATGTGCAACTGACTTGGAACCATTAGTACGAAAGACGGCTGCGATTTCACTCGCTCAAATGCATGCAATTAATGGAAGTGATGAAGATAAGGAAACTGTACATTCACTTTTACATCAACTCTTAGCGGATAAATGTACAGAAGTTTCCTCAGCGGCGGCTCTTTCCTTTATAGAGATTTGTCCAGATGAGATGGGGTTTATTCATGGTGTTTATCGCAGTCTTTGTCGAACACTTGTGGATTGTGAAGAATGGGGACAAGTGATACTTTTACACGTACTCTTACGATATGCAAGAACACAATTTTGTGATCCCAATAAACCTATAAAAGGGAAATCATCCAAATCTAAAAAGATTGAGGAAAGTAGTATGGGGAAAAATACCACAGATAAAAAGAAGAAGAAGAAGGATGATAATAATAATAATAATAGGAAAACTTCACTTTCTTATTCTTCTTCAAGATCATCATCATCATCATCATCTGCAGCTTCTTCCTCTTCAAACGTACGTAATGTCAACAAACATGCATCATCTTCTTCTTCTTCAGGATCATCTTCATCATCTTCATCTTTATCTACGGATAAAAGTGAAGATTATCTTCGAGAGGAAACAGAAGGAACTATACTACTAGATCCAGATCACCGTTTATTATTAGATTCTGCTAAACCACTCTTTATGAGTCCCAATAGTGCTGTTGTTGTGGCTACAACTTCTCTCTTTTATCATTGTGCACCTCATCATGAATTGGAACTCTGTGTTCGACCACTTCTTCGTTTACTTGGAGGTCCAGAAGAACATCATTTTATGATTTTAAGTACAATCTATACAATTATCTTATCCCAACCAGAACCTTTTATTCCTTTTATAAAGGAATTCTTTATTCTTCCAGAAGATGTAAAAGATGTACGGGAACTTAAGATTCGTATTATGTCTAAACTCGTTACTCGTGATAATTTCAATGATCTTTACCGTGAATTTCGATTTTATGTTCGTAGTTTTCACGTAGATCGTGTGATAGATGCTATTCGTGGACTTGGATTAATTGCCGCTCAATTAAAAACCGCATGTGCCCCACAAATTTTACGATTATTAATTCCACTTCTTTCACATAAAAATACAGAAGTCATTACGGAATCTATTATTGTATTACGATTATTAGTTGTGGTTCAAGGACCTAATAAAGGACGGACCTGTCAATTAGTCTATCGTCTCATGCTACAAGTAATGAGAGGAGAAATTGCGAGTCCCTCTGCAAAGGCGAGTATTCTTTGGCTTATAGGAGAAAATATTCAACAACATAGTGTTATTGCGGCTACAGCACCAGAGTGTTTCCGTGTATTTGTGAAATCTTTTTCTGAACAACAAGTGGAAGTAAAGAAACAGATATTAACATTGGGTTGTAAAATATGGTTATATTTAGATGGGAATAGTGATATGGCTGATCGATTTCGAAAACTATTTTTTTATATGTTAGAATTGGCTCACTTTGATGATGATTACGAAGTACGTGATCGTGGACGATTACTACAGTGTACTGTAGATCGTCAAAGTGAAACATTTACGGCTTTAAAGTTTGTGTTACTCTCTGAGAAGCCGGCACCCCAAACAAATGATCCATATGTAGAGAGAGCTCACTATCAATTAGGCACCATGACCCATCTCTTTGGACATCCACTCTTTGGTTATCATGATTTACCGGATTGGCAAACAGAACCATCCGATCCACAACTACGTGGTGTAGGTGTAGAAGAATCAGAGGAAAATGATAATGATGAGGATTCATTTATGAGTTCAGCAGATGGTTCAAGTGAGAGTATGTTTTCTTCAGAGTACAACAGTGAAGAGGGGAGTTACGATAGTGATAATAATAGTAGTAGTGAGAGGGAATCTATGGCTAGCACGGCGAGATCCTCCTCTTCTTCCTCCTCCTCTGCAGAGTCAGAGAGTGATAATAATGATAATGATATTGATAATGATGAAGAGGAAAATAAAGAGAAGGCTGTGCATGCGAGTAATAGTAGTAGTAGTAATAATAAGAAGAAACCTATCAGTGATAATAATAAAGATCAGGTAGAATCAATAATAGAAACAACAATACCAGCAACAGCAGCAATAAAGCGTGCCCCTGTTAAAGTTATAATACGACAGAGAAATCCAACAACTACAACAACAACTACTACAACTACTAATATGAATGAAACGGCAGTAAGTGATGAAAAGAATACCCTGCAAAAGGAGGAGTCTAATGAAATGGAATACACACCTGTTGAGGAATCTAATACCCCAATGCAGTCCATAGATCCAACTTTACCAGATGAAACTCTTAATACTATGAATACTATTACTACTACTACTACTACTACTA